AACAGGAACAAGACAAGGATGCCCTTTATCACCACTCTTATTTAACATTGTGCTGGAAGTCCTAGTTAGAGCACTAAGGCAAGAAAAAGAAATAAAGGACATCTGTCCTTTAAACTGTCCCTATTTGCAGATGATATGACATAGAAAACCCTAAAGACTCCACGAGAAAACTACTGGAACTAATTGAAAGATTCAGCAGAGTAGCAGAGCACAAGATTAACATACAAAAATCAGTTGGATTCCTATACACCAACAAAGAGAACGATGAAAAGGAAATCAGGAAAACAATGCCATGTATAATAGTCCCTAAAAAAATAAAATACTTAGGAATAAATCTAACCAGGGATGTAAAAGGCCTATACAAAGTAAACTATAAAACACTACTGCAAGAAACCAAAAGAGATCTACATAAATGGAAAAACATACCACACCCATGGATAGGTAGACTCAACATTGTGAAAATGACAATTCTACTCAAAGCAATTTACAGATACAATGCAATTCCAATCCAAATACCAACAACATTCTTCAAAGAGATGGAAAAACTAATCACTAACTTTATATGGAAAGGGTAGAAGCCCCGAATAAGTAAAGCACTATTGAAGAAGAAGAATAAAGTAGAAGGACTCACACTACCTGACCTCAGAACCTACTATACAGCTACAGTAGTCAAAACAGCCTGGTATTGGTACAACGACAGATACATTGACCAATGGAGCAGAATTGAGAACCCAGATGTAAATCTATCCACCTGAGCTTCAACGAGGGCCCAAAGTCCATCAAATGGGGAACACACAGTCTTTTTAACAAATGCTGCTGGCAAAATTGGATGTTCGTCTGCAAAAAAATGAAACAGGACCCCTAACTCACCCCATACACAAAAACTAATTCAAAATGGATCAAAGACCTAAATATAAAGCCAAAAACTATAAAGTTCACAGAAGAAAAAATAGGATTAATGCTAGAGGCCCTAATACACGGCATTAACAGGATACAAACCATAACCAAAAACACAAAAACTCCATAAGCTAGATAACTGGAATCTTCTAAAAAATTAAACACTTAGGCTCATCAAAAGACTCACCAAAAGAGTAAACAGAGAACCTACAGACTGGGAAAAAATTTTTGGACATTACAAGTCAGACAAAGGTCTAATCTCTAAAATCTACAAGAAATTCTAACATTTCTACAACAAAAAGACAAATAATACTATTAAAAAATAGGCAAAGGAAATTAACTTCACCAAAGAAGACATTCAAGTGGCCAACAGACACATGAGGAAATGCTCACGATCACTAGCTAATAGAGAAATGCAAATCAAAACCACAATGAGATACCATCTCACTCCAGCATTACTGGCACGAATCAAAAAAACTGGAAATCACAAATGTTGGAGAGGCTGCAGGGAGATTGAAACTCTTATGCACTGCTGGTGGGAATGCAAAATGGTACAACTATTTAGGAAAATGATATGGTGCTTCCTTAGATAGCTAGAAATAGAAATACCATACGATCTAGCAATCCCACTCCTAGGAATATATCCTAGAGAAATAAGAGTCACCACACGAATAGACATATGTACACCCATGTTCACTGCAGCACTGTTCACAATAGCAAAAAGATGGAAACAACCTAGATGGCCATCAACAGATGAATGGATAAACAAACTATGGTACATACACACAATGGAGTATTATGCAACAATAAAGAACGATGATGAATCTGCGAAGCAGCTTATAACATGGACCATACAGGAAGACATTATGCTGAGTGAAATAAGTCAATCACAAAAGGACAAATATTGTATGAGACCACTACTGTAAAAACTCATGAAAAGGTTTACACACAAAAAGAAGCAATCTTTGATGGTTACGAGGGATGGGAGAGGTGGGGGGGAATACTAAATAGACAATAGATAAGTGCTAACTTTGGGAAAGGGTAAGACAGTACACATTACTGGGGAAGCCAGCACAACTTGTACAAGGAAAGGTCATGGAACCTCCATAGATATATCCAAACTCCCTGAGGGACCGAACTGCTGGGCGGAGGGCTGTGAGGACCATGGTTTCGGGGAACATCTAGCTCAATTGGTATAACATAGTTTATAAAGAAAATGTTCTACATTCTACCTTGGTGAGTAGCGTCTGGGGTCTTAAAAGCCTGTGAGTAGCCATCTAAGATACTCCACTGGTCCAACCTCTTCAGGAGCAAGGGAGAATAAAGAAAACAAGATACAAGGGAAAGATTATTCCAAAGGACTAATGGACCACAACTACCACAGCCCGCACCAGACTGAGTCCAGTACAACTAGATGGTGCCTGGCTACCACAACTGACTTCTCCGACAGGGATCAGAACAGAGGGTCCCAAACAGAGCTGAAGAAAAATGTGGAACAAAATTCTAACTCACAAAAAAAGACCAGACTTACTGGACTGACAGAGACTGGAGAAACCCTGAGAGTATGGCCCACAACACCCTTTTAGCTCAATAATGGAGTCATTCCTGAGGTTAACCTTTCAGCCAAAGATTAGATGGCCCCATAAAACAAAATGAGACTAATGGGGCACAACAGCCCAGGGACAAGGACTAGAAGGCAGGAGGGGACAGGAAAGCTGGTAATAGGGAAACCAACGTCGAGAAGGGAGAGTTTTGACATGTCGTGGGGTTGTTAACCAATGTCATAAAACAATATGTGTACTAACTGTTTAATGAGCAACTATTTGTTCTGTAAACCGTCATCTAAAGTAAATTAAAAAAAAAAAACACCCATTGCCACTGAGGCAATTCCAACTCATAGTGACCTTGTAGGATAAGAGTAGAACAGCCCTATAGGGTTTCCAAGGCTGTAAATCTTTATAGAAGGAGACTGCCACATCTTTCTCCCCAGGAGCGGCTGGTGCGTTCAAACTGCCAACCTTTCAGTTAGCAGCCGATCGATTAACTACTGTGCCACCAAGGCTCCTTATTATTCTCTTCTTGGCCTTTAAATGTCTGCAATATTGTATATCTTAAAGATTTTTTAAAGTATCTCATTTGTAATTGCATTCCATGAATTACTAGGTGAAACTGAACTTTTTTAATATGTTGTTTCTCTTATGTAATCTTTCCATAACCTCTCTGCATGTATCTACTAAAGTCTTAAGTGCTTTCACCATCAATTGGTATGATCTATTTAAAGACTGAGTATATTAACCTTTTGTTAATTTTTACATGTTCTCCTTGCATCTTTAAGAAGTGAACAATAAATGCTGGCCTCACTAGCATCATAATACTTTGAAGGGATAAACTGATCTGAATACTTCATATCATACGAGTATGCATTTTGGCTACAGGATTTCAACCATCATCTAATATTAGAATCTTACCTTAGTGCCAAGAAAGAATTTCCATGTTACCCTTAAAGCTCTCATAGTGCCTTCTTTTTTTTTTTTTTTTTAATTTACAAGAAACTTCCACATTGATAAACACATACTTGGATAAATTCTTCCATTATGACTTTTTATTTTGAAAGAAATGAAAGAGAGTAAAAGGTTCACTGATAACAACTCAGACAAATTTTTTAAAGGAAATTCTACTTGGTTTCTTCTCTCCTACGGAGAGGACCAAGCTCTCAAACACTGTCAGAGAGATGCAAATATAAAGCTAAGTGCTTACACATAAGTAAAGTTTAGAACAAAACTACAACAAAAAACAGGTGGCCAACAAAGTGACCAAAAGTTAAACAAAGAAACAAGTATTTATTGAATTACTTATATACAAGTGCAGGAAACAGGTGAAGCCTATTTCAAAAGTAACTCTCAGGATTAAACAGACTACAGTATTATCCTTATTGAACACTGACATACACAAAAAATTACCTTGCAAATAATCTGCCAGGTCTCCACCATTGCAATACTGATATATAAAAGAAAAAGTAGTTAAAATAAGCACACTGATTCAAGAGTAATTCAATCCATTATCACTTAATTTTAATTTAGAAAACATTTTTATATAATGTAAGTCTAGTCTGAAAAAGATTCTAATTACAGGATGAAAAATTTTTAATTTAGGATAAAGTCTAAATCACTGAACTGACTTTATTATAACTCAAGTTTTCAAATAATAACCCACTGTCAATTTTAAAGTACATATTAATCATAAGGAATTTGAAACAGTCATGCATCACTTAACGTCCATGATATGTTCTGTGATTTGGACGTTATGTGATTGGACGTGGTGCGAACACCTTATTATTTGCGGGGGCAAATAACTTATTTACTGTCTCATTATACACCTGGCAGCGCAACTGCTTTGTATACGAGACGTAAGATACGTATGTTGTATGCAGGAAGCTGTTGTGTTCTTTACGTCTGGTTATGTCCGCTATATCCCATTCTCCCATCAGGATTTCTGAACTCTATTACAACTTTATGGGACCACAGACATATATGAGCTTGGATGTTCCCTGAATGGCATTATGCAGCACATGACTATAAATTAAACAGAAGCTTGTATACTACCTACCTCCATCACCAGAAAGACAGAGTTGGGTAATTCCTGAAAAGTAAACATTAAAAATCATTTAGATCGGAAAAAAAAATGAAACACAAAATCTTAAAACAATGTTAATAAAAATTATATATATATACTCATTATCAAATGAAATCACAAAATCCATTAGAAAGTGAAATTTTTTAAATTCTGAACACAATGATTAAAGTATATCATCTTTATAGCCAAATCAAGTTTTGATTAACACTAATGTAGTCATCAAGAAGTTCAATTTTGCTTATGGGAAGAACGCAGAAAGAAAGATTCATCTTTTGCTTATGATTGACCTAAAAGAATACCTAAGACAAAATGCATGGTGAATTTACCACTTGTGAAAAAAGGAAGAATTCTCTGGTCCTCAGGGAAGCACTTCTACTTCGAAAAGTTTACGATTTAGGGCAGCAAAATGAATTGATAATCTTCCTTAGCAAAGCTAACTGCACAATCTGATTCTGGAACATATGACCCAGGATGCTTAGTTTTTTGTTTTCTGGTTTTTATGTTTGTTTACCTTGAGCAATCACATTACCAAGGAATTGCTGGCAAAGGGAAGATATTTCATCACGTCTTGGTAACAGACTGATTTTAATGAACTGATTTGAGGAATTTTACAGTCTCAAATTTTTACAGCTCCAGGTAGGTTGCCTGAGTTAAGTAATTCAAAGACTGATTAGCTGACTCTTCAATGAGAATTTTCATAATGTTAATTAAATTTAAAACTGGGCTTCCCTATGGCTTAAAGAGTCCTAGTAGCACAGTGGTTAAAGCACTCAGCTGCTAACCAAAAGGCTGGCAGTTCTAACCCACCAGCCTGCTGAGGGAGAAAGACATGGCAGTCTGCTTCTGTAAAGATTTCAGCCTCAGAAACCCTGTGAGCAGTTCTACTCTGTCCCATAGGGTCGCTGTGAGTCAGAATCAACTCAATGGCAGCAGGTATGGCTTAACTTGAGCCAGTGCTCAAATGTGAATCAACACATAGCTTTTTCAAGTAGCAGTTGGCTCACCAAGATCCTAAACTCAAGGATAAGGTGCTCTGGCAGGAAAAAGAAGGCGGCGCAGAGCAGAGTGGGGACAGGTCTAGATCAGTACTACTCAGAGTACAAGTCAAGGACCAGTGCCAGTCAGTGAACTGTTTGCTACTCGTCCAAAACGAGATAATTACAGAAATTAAGAGCAATTATCAAACACATTTAAATCAATTTGGCAGAATAATTTTAGGTCTGTTAAATCTAATAAAAACTTTGGATTTCTATTTGTCTTCCCTTTTAATTTCATTTTTTTATAACAATTTACTTTTATTATATTTTATAAAACTATCACTTCACAAGAGATTACAAATAAAAACTGATCCTTTACAAAAGTTAGTCTACAGCACTTCTGGGCAAACAGTAGCAACACAACAGAATGCCACAAAGCTGCTTCAGCACATTCACCAGGATCTTGGACATCACAATTCAAAAACTGAATGCTAAATTATGCCTCAAGAAACTGAATGACTTAGGATGATCTGCTTATTTCCCAAGAGAACTAGATAAAACATTAAGATATATTACACCCATTTCTTTGACACCTCAGAGATATACGTACATCCACAAGAATGGACAATTCCATCCGCTCTCTGCTAACGAATGAGGAGCCACAGTTCTTGCAGAACCAGGATCATGTGCATGGAGAGCCAGACTGCAAGCCTAAAACAAATGTTTGGCTTCCCTAACAGCAGAACTCCCATAACAAATCAGCAAGGCGGTAGAGCCAGCTCCCAGCCAGCTACAAGATCAAGTCTGTAAGAACTACTTATTTCTCTTTATCATAAATAAAAATATATTTATAAGAGTTAAATCATCTCTATTGTCAATGTTGTTGCTGTTGGTACTATGGAGTCAGCACCCAACTCATGGCGACCCCATGCACAACAGAACCTGCACCAGTCCTGCACCATCCCATGATCGGATACGAACTGGACTGTTTTGATCCATAGGGTTTTCACTGGCTGGTTTTCAGAAGATCGCCAGGCCTTTCTTCCTAGTCCATCTTAATCTGGAAGCACCACTGAAACCTGCTTAATATCGTAGCAACAAACAAGCCTCCACTGACAGATCAGCAGTGACTACATAAGAGATGCACTGGCCATGAATCGAACCTGGGCTCCCTTATGGAAGGTGAGAATTCTACCACAGAATCACCACTGTCCTCATCTAAAAAACTTACAGATGCCAAATATAATGTATGAAAACTAGTTCCAGCTTAGAGTTGCAAAATACAATATAGGAAAGCCAGTACCAGTTTACTGACCTGACACAATTCAACACAGGTATGCTGAAAACAGGGCTTCGAATCAGTTGGTTCCAGTTCAAACTTCTGCCGAGAATTCACATTTTCACCCCACATATACTGAATCAGAATCTGCATTTTAACAAGATCCCCAGGTGACTCTTGTTGTTAGGTGCCATGGAGTCGGTTCAGAATCATAGTGACCACATTTACAACAGAACAAAATACTGCCCAGTCCTCTGTGAATCTCACAATTGTTGTTATGCTTGAGGCCACCACTGCAGCCACTGTGTCAATCCATCTCATAGAGGGTCTTCCTCTTCTTCACCGTCCCTCTATACTTTACCAAGCATGATGTCCTTCTCCAAGGACTGATCCCTTCCGATAACATGTCCAAAGTATGGGAGACATAGTCTTGCTTCTAAGGAGCATTCTGGTTGTACTTCTTCCAAAACAGACTTGTTCGTTCTTTTGGAAGGCAGTCCATGGGATGTTTAATATTCTTTGCCAACACCATAACTCAAAGGCATCAATTCTTCTTCAGTCTTCCTTATTCATCATCTAGCTTTTGCATGCGTATGAGGAGAGTGAAAACACCATGGCTTAGGTCAGGCGCACCTTAGTCTTCAAGATGACATCTTTGCTTTTTAACACTTTAAAGAAGTCTTTTGCAGCAAATTTGCCCAATGCAAGTCTTTTGATTTCTTGACTGCTGCTTCCATGGGTGTTGACTGCGGATCCAAGTAAAATGAAATCCTTGACAACTTCAATATTTTCTCCACTTATCATTACGTTGCTTATTGGTCCAGTTGTGAGAATTTCCGTGTTCTTTATGTTGAGGTGTAATCCATAATGAAGGCTGTGGTCTTTGATCTTCATCAGAAAGTGCTCTTCGCTTTCAGCAAGCAAGGTTGTGTCATCCATATAATGCAGGTTGTTAATGAGTCTTCCTCCAACTCTGATGCCCTGTGCATCTTCATATAGTCCAACTTCTCGGTTTATCTGCTCAGTATAGACTGAATAAGTATAGTAAAAGGATACAACCCTGACGCACCTTTTCTGACTTTAAACTACACAGTATCCCCTTATTCTGTTCAAACGACTGCCTCCTGATCTATGTACAGGTTCCTCATGAACACGATTAAGTGTTCTGGAATTCCCATTCTTCACAACGCTATCCATAATATGTTATGATCCACACAGTCGAACGTCTTTGCATAGTCAATAAAACAGATAAACCCCTTTCTGGTGTTTATTCTCTGCTTTCAGCCAGGATCCATCTGACATCAGCAATGATGTCCCTGGTTCCACATCCTCTTCTGAATCAGGCTTGAACTTCTGGCACTTCCCTGTCGATATACTGCTGCAGCCACTTCTGAATGATCTTCAGCAAAATTTTACTTGCATGTGGTATTAATGATATTGTTCCATAATTTCTGCATTCGGTTGGATCACCTTTCTTGGAATAGGCATAAATATGGTCCTCTTCAAGTTGGTTGACCAGGTAGCTGTCTTCCAAATTTCTTGGCATACACGAGTGGGTACTTCCAGCGCTGTATCCGTTTGTTGAAACATCTCAATTCGTTTTCCATCAATTCCTGGAGCCTTGTTTTTTGCCAATACCTTCATTGCATCTTGGACTTCTTCCTTCAGTACCATTGGTTCCTGATCATATACTACCTCCTGAAATGACTGAACGTCCACCAGTTGTTTTTGGTATAGTGACTCTGTGTATTCCTTCCATCTGCTTTTGATGCTTCCTGTGTCATTTAATATTTTCCCCATAGAATCCTTCAATATTGTAACTCAAGGCTTGAATTTTTCTTCAATTCTTTCAGCTTGCGAACTGTCAAACACGTTCTTCCCTTTTGGTTTTCTATTTCCAGGTCTTTGCACGTGTGATTCTTATGTATGATAAATTTTGAGAACCACTGCTGTACTAGTGGTTCTCAGAACTGATCCCTAACCAGCAGCATTAGCATCGCCTGGGAACTTGTTACAAATGTAAATTCTCAGCAGGAGTTTGAACTAGAACAAATCGGCTGAAAAATCTTTTTTAAATCTTTATAATACTAATTATACCAAAGTTTCAAAAATATTTAGAATACATAAGACTGATCTCAAATAAACTTATAAATTGATAACCAAGTACCTACAAAATCTGAACCTGATCTGCCTATAACTCTCCAAATTGCCTAAGTCCTAACTCTTATTAATAGCTGCACAGAGAGTAACAACCTCTTCTACATCTAGCATCAAACAGGTAAAAATCTGGGATAACTGCCTGGGCTTTTGGGAAAATAAGTTGAGTCCCTACATCGCTCTTTTGCACATAAATTCCAGAGACCAAAGATATAAATATGAAAAAATGACACTATATGTACTAGAACAAAACATGGGGGAATATTTTTATCATCTCAGGAAGAAAAAATCCTTACAAGATATGAGACCTGTTGTTGTGTGCCATCAAGTCGATTTCAACTCACAGTGACCCTATAAACCAAACCAAACCCATTGCCGTCGAGTCGATTCTGACTCATAGTAACCCTACAGAACAAGGTAGAACTGCCCCATGGGGTTTCCAAGAGCGGTTGGTAGATTTGAACTGCTAACCTTCTGGTTAACAGCTGAGCTCTTAACCATGGCAGTCATTAAAGAACTGAGAGATAAATTTAACTATGTAAAAACTTGCAAATATCAAAAAGAGGCTAAAATAAGACCAAAAAAAAAAAAAA